TGCGCCGCGGGCCCCTCCCTACGGTGCTAGGCGGCCGCGGCCCGTTCGCTTTCTCTTACCGCACGGGGGGAGCCGTCCGCCTCCGCTTGTGATGATCTTGGTCACAAGTGGCGCGCCGTAGATTCGCCGTCTTGCGTCACTCTGCGTCGTGCGGGGAGGGGGAGTGGGAGGAGAGGAGCCCGCTGGGTGCTCTCGTGACGTCAGGGCTGCGCGCTGGGGGCGCCAACGCCCACCCTGGCGCCATTTTGTTCTGACCTGCACACAAAACACACGGGGGGCGGGACGGGCGCAGGCCGGGTACTTTTCCCTGCCCGGCGGGCGGGTTGCGGCTGCGGTTCCCATACGGGGGAGGGCAGGGGCGGGCACTATGAAATGCTGGTCTTGGAAGCTGGGCATGAGCGTATTTGCTGTAGAACTGGAGTGCGCCGAAACTATGCAAATGTGTATGCAAGTAAGCCCCGCCTTTATGCTGCTCGCTGTGACCATGGGCCCTCGGAGTTGAAGCACGTGTTTCTTTTGAGGTCAAGCGTGCTGTGACAGAAGAGCAAGCCCAAAAGTCACTCAAGGCTTTCTACACCTGCAGATTTAAGGCAGTGTTTCCCAAGCTTTTCCAGCCTCGGGCACACTTACCTCAATAACAAGTTTCTGTGCACACCTGTTAAGACCTTCCCCCTCCTCCTACCTCGTGTAGCTCGCTGCCGCAGCAACGTTCCCCAGCACGCCTGTCTGTCTGTGACCGCATGTTTTAGGGCTGTGGCACGCTGGGTGGGAAACACTGATTTAAGGATCATTAGCTGTTTTTAAGGTGTGTTACGGGCTTGGGTCTACACACACATGCCCTTGATGCACCTTTAACAAGGTGAGTGTAAGCTATCCACGCCTAAATTTGACACCTGCAAAAGCAGGTGTCCTAAATTTAGATGCGAATAGATAAAGCACCTTAGCGCAGGCATAGACATGCTAAGGCACATCTGCGCTGTGTGTGTTGGCTGGCTTGGGACTAACCTGAGTCCCAAGTCAGTATCCGCACCGGGTTAATATGCCTTAGCGTGGGCACGTGTCGATGTGTACCTAAATCACGTGGATTAGGCAAATGTGCATTAAGTTTAGGCATGTGTAGGCACGCCCTCTGAGAGTGACTTGGGTTTTGCATATGTTGCATCAATTAGCCACTTTAAAACATAGCATATTTTGAACACTTGTACCATGTACAATCAATAATAGTATAAAGGTTGAAATATTGTACGCATACAATAATTATCATACACCTGGCAACACCCCCTGTACCCTATCGTTTGTGTGACATCAGCAGCCGCATATGTAGGCCTCTCCTCCTGCACCACTGCACCGTGTCAGTGCGCAGCACCTCCACCTCAGCACTCCCTCCCCTCCCCCCCAAGCATAGGTGGCCCCTCTGCTGCTGCATCTGGGAGGCAGCCCCCACCCTACACGCACCTTATTGTCTGGGGGCTTCTCCACTGCACCATGCTCCCTCCACACTGTAGGCTGTGTGTGTGCACAATGGCACCCTGCCCTGCAGGATGGAGAGGAAGGAGAAGCCTGGAGGTCCTGGCTGCAGCAGTAGCAGGAGGGATGAGGGGAGCAGGTGGCTAGTTTGGACAGCCCTGCCTTATAATATTATCCCATGAAGGAAGTGTCTCTAGTGGGTTATGGAATAGAGAAGATCCCACACAACTTACTGATTCGTTTGATGCACTGGCTGGGGGAATTTTTAGCTACTTGCACGATTTCACAATGATTGCACACTTAATTCATACAACACAATTTTATTTTTAATTTCTTTGCTATGCATATAACACTGCTTAGCTTTAAGAAATACCATAAACATTAAGAATACAATAACTACATATATCAGAAACAATGCTCTAAATGCACTTCTTTAAAACAATTACAATTACAACTAACTATGTAATTTGAACTAGAAAAGTTATTACTATATTATACTTATAATCCTAAAATTCCAAGCCAAACACCTAGATATGGTTTAATTCCTCAGTAGTACAATTTAATGGGTTGGCCTCAGTAGTACGGTTCAATGGGCTGGCCTCAGCAGTGCGGTTCAATGGGTTGGCTTCAGCAGTGATAGGAACAAGTCCCCTTCCTTCAGTCCCACTCGGGCACTCCACGGCTTCAGCGTGAACTAAGAGATTCGTGTTCACAGAGAGGGTGGCTCAGGTGATTACTCTGATCCAGCCTACACTTGCGATTCTTCCTTCGTTGTTCTGCAAGTGAGGTTACCTCCAAATTGGGACAGTAGGTTACAGTTTTTATTAAGTGAGTTGCCGTCTTGGGCCCCTCCTACCCAAACCTGTCACTACTCCCAAATTTGGGCTCAGATCTTACTTAACAGATTTCTGCTAGGTTCAGTTTCTTTTGTTGACCACTTAGTTACTTTGGGGGATTTTCCACACCACTGCAGTGACCTCTCTTTCCAACCATTTCAAAAGCCCCTAGGGTTTGATCTCTCAGGATGTTTGTTTAAGGGTCGTTTTAGGTTAACCTTGTTAAAGGCCTCTAGAGATAAAATTCAAGAGTTAAGACTTTGAGCAAAGCAAGGACCTTCTGCACGTAGGCCAAAACAATGGCCTAGATAAGAAGATGAATCTTGTCTTTTTCTAAACTGGCTAAAGGGCAGCTATTATAAACATTCAAACTATTACATTCAATATGACAGGAAGCAGCACTTTAGCACCTTTCCACAGCAGAGCTGCTAGCGTTGGAGGAAACAGAGTAGGTTCACATGAGCAATGAAGATCAAAAATATTCAGTCTCTGCCCATAAGAGACGTGATAGGCATATTTCCTCAGAAAAAGAAACCTAGATAATCAAGATAAATGCAATAAGACAGCAGTTCCCAAACTGTGGGTTGCAACCCCAAATATGGTCGCAACATCAGCGATTGGGAGCTGCGAGATTTCTGCGCCCACAGCAGGGCATGGGCCCTACCGGTACTGGACCAACTCCAGGCAGGAGCTGCCTCCACAGCCCAGCGGGCAGGACCCAGCACAGGAAGGAGTGCTGCACTGTTATGGCTGCCAAGGTGAGGTGCAGCAGTAGCAGCGGCACAAGGTTGTGCCTCCACTGCTGCCAAGTGGGCAGGAGGCACCTCAGTGTGGTGGCCATGGCAGCGCGGCGCTCCCTCCTGTGCCAGGTCCTGCCCACTAGGCCACAGAGCACCCAGGGGAGGGCAGCACGGCAGGGAGCCCCAAGCCTGCAGAAGGCAGCCTGCATCCTAGGCCCACACCACGGGCTCTGCTCTGGCCACACCACCCACAGGGGAAGGGTGGGAGCTCGGCTCCACACTCTGCTCTGGTCACAGCAGCTGCTGCCTTCTGCAGGCAGCAAATGGGGCTTGGGCGCTGCTGTGGGGCAGGGGTCTACAGGCCCTGGCTCTAGGGTACCTGGAGGAAGTGGGGGGCTGCAGGTTGGGAGGGAGAGGCACCAGCAGCACTAGGGGCCTGTGGGTTAGGAGTGAGAGGTACTGGCAGGGCCAGAGTCCTGCAGGTTGGAATTGAGAGGCACTGTGGTAGAGTGTGGATTGGGAGTGAGGGGCACCTGGCAGGGGGGGCTGTGAGTTGGCAGCGAGGGGCCATGTTGAGGAAAAGTTTGGGAAGCACTGCAATAGGAGGTGACCTGGAAGGGGAACACAAGAGTGAAAGGAGGAGGAAAGGATGAAACAATTTAGATAAACCATAAATAGGCAGCCTGGGTACTGTGTTTGAGGCAGGTTGACCACCTGTCCCAAATTGGGCGAGACAGTCCTGCAATGGGAACCTCAAGTCCCCGTCCCAAGCTGCAGGATTCCGAATAGCATTTGTTTCCAATTCACAGCCTCATGAAGGGATCCACGAGAAATGGCAGATTTCCCCTTGCAGGCTGGCAGCATTTCAGCCTGCAACGGCCTGCCAGGAGTGGGACACAGGGGGCACCTCATGCATGTGCGCACTCGCACATGTGTGTGTGACTGGGAACGCAGCCTGGAGAGCAGCTTCCTACAGATAAGTCTATGTGGGGGAGAGATATGGTGGGGTGGGGCAAACTGAGGTCCCCACGGTGAGGAAGGCAGTGGAGCAGGGGCTGGGTGCACTGCCCAGCCAGGGCACTACTTGGGGCCAGGGCAGGAAGTGGGACAGAGCCACAAGTGGTTCATTAGGAGGCGAGGGTCATGGAGAGCAGGTTCCCCACCAGATTTGTGTGCAGGGCAGATGCAGGCTGCTCATTGTAAGCTTGGGGCTCCTCACCCTGCTGCCCTACCCCTAGGGGACCCTGTGCTGGCTACACCACCGTGGCAATGTGTCCTCTGCCCTCCCGACAGCAGCAGCGTGGAGTTGTGGCCCCTGCTGCTGCCAGGCAGGCCGGGGGTGCGCAGTCAGCACAGGGATCCTGAGAGAAAGGCAGCAGGACAGGGAGCCCCAAGCCCACAGTGGGCAGCCCACATCCATCCCCAGCTCCGCTCAGCTCTGGTCCGGTGGTAGCAGTGGCAAGAAGGAATGTGGAAGTGAGCATGTATCCCACCTTCCCCTTTTGAAAAGGTGGTCACCCTAATTTGAGGGTCTGTTGATGTAGGCTCTTCTAGGAATCTATTTTTTGACCAGTGTATTTCAGGAGCAGATGTTAGGAAGGAAAACAACTGAAGTCCTTTGTAGACAATTGAAAGAAAAAGGTAATTTTACTTCTGCATATCCCCGACCTATTTTACTGTTTAAATCAAATGATTTTGAAAATCTTAATGTTCAAATTAAAGCATGGGCATTGCTTCATTATCATTGCATCTATAATTCTCCCAAACATCCAAAACCATGCCCTCCAATTTGTGGTGGCTTGGCAGGCTGGATAGAGGGGATCTGTGGGCTGGATCTGGCCAACAAGTGGTATGATTGACACCCATGCCTTAAGCTGTTCAAGAAAAGCTGATGACAGTCATTGAAAAAGAAATAAGAGTCAGGTCTCCACCATTCAATGGAAGGTATTAACCTCTAAGCTGTGGACTCATGTTCACACGTACTTTCTCAAATTTCATTAAAGTAAAATGTATAATATAACAGAGGGAATTCTTAATTTTACCAAGTAATGATTGAAACTACCAAAGCCAAAAAAAAATCCTAACAAT